AGCCTCGATGAAGCGCACCTCCCCAGGCTCAGTCCAGAAACTTCCTATTGGCATTTGCCCCAAACAAGGCTCCCCGGACCTCCGGCATCATCTGTAAGGAAGGCAGTCAGTAAATAAGGACCTCAGACGGGGCCGCCACAGGAGAAAGTCAGAGCTAAGCACATGGGACCTGTCCTGTCTGCTGCCCTGGCCAGAAGCACTTAAGCAGTCATACTCTGTGCTAACACCAACTGCTCACAAAAGGGCAGGAGAGGAAAGGCTTGCAGTTATTACTGTACGTTCTTGGAGACAAGGTCTCAATCTTAGCTCAGACTGGCCTCAGACACAGTAATCCCACCCCAGCTTCCCAAGTGGCAATGCTACCCTGCCTGACTAAACTATAAACTACTGTTTTTTGAGAGACAGTTCTCTGTGTAGCCCTGGCTGTCCAGGAACTCACTCTGTCGACTAGGCTAGGCTTGAAGTCAGAGAGATCTGCACTGCCACACTTGGCCTAAACTACACACTAAACCAGGATTGAGCAAGTTAGCAGGGCGACTGTTGACCACCGTGCCTGGAAGGTGACCCGCCTTTCTTTCAGGCTGTTTCCTGGAGTTCAGTGTGCAAGTGTGGAACCCTGAGAACCAGCAGCCTTGCACCCACTTTGAAAGGCCTGTGTTCTCTGCAGTCCTCGAATGAGTGCCAGCCTGGTGTGGACTAGTCCTTTACACTATGTGAAGATATTTCAAGGTGACTGCTTTAATAAAAAGCTAAACAGCCAATAGCTAGGCAGGATTTTTGGGGCAGGGAGGAGTCACCAGCCAGACATGGAGGAAGCAGGAAAGCAACGTGGGCAGAGTACAGGTAATTAAGCCATGAGGCAGGAAGTAAATTAATGGAAATGGGTTAATTTAAGTTGTAAGAGCTAGTTAGAAACAAGCCTAAGCTATCAGCCGAGCTTTCACAATTAATAAGAAGTCTGTGTGGTTATGTGGGAGCTGGCAGGCAGGACCGGCCAAGGGCAACCAGAATCCTTCTGCACTCACCTGTTGGGCTATGAGGTCCAGCCGGCTCTCCAGGGTGTTGGAAACCTTAATCTTGCGATCCCCATTATAGATTTCAACGCCACCAGCTCTGCAGAACACAGGAAATAACAGGCTTGACCAGCTGTGCCCCCATGACGCTTACACCACTCCCTTGGCACAAGGTGGCCGAGGCAAGTGAAGGGCACGACACGGAAACAGGCTTGACATTTATTCAACAGCTTCAGTGAGACCGTCCACACAATACCAAGCGCCTGCTGAGCACAGCCATGTGGTTACATCACGCTGTTCAATTATAGCCAGGCCTCCCCGGCTAGGTGGAAACTGGCTTCAGTGATCACAGCTCTGAATCAACAGACTCCAGGGAGGAGGCACTTGTATGCTGCTGAGAGACAGGGAGGGCGGATGACTCCACATCCTTAACAGCCTATTACCTGCCTCTGGTCATCCCACTCAATGCCTCTCAGCACTCAGGAGGTGTACACAGGTCAACTGTACTACAAGGAATCACAGGCAACAAGATTCACCCATGACCAGTCCTGTCAATTACAGATAAACGGACCATCAGACAGGGCCTGGATGATGTCTGAGATAACACCTCACTAGGCAGTCCAGGCTAGCCTGGGACTCACCATCATGCACAGGCTGGGAAAGGTTCTGTACTTTCTCCTTGGGACATTTCAGAGGATGACGACGGCCACAGACACACCCAATTCCCCCTCTGATGCTCCCCAATGGCAAGGTGGTGCTTTGCTAAAACCCTGACTCCTGGCTGTTTGTTTTTTGGGGAATGTGAGGATAGTAGGAGAGGAATAAGCAAAAATGTTCTAGGCAAGCACTGAATGTCAGCTTTGGTTTTCTCTCTCTTTTTGAGTTTTGAGACAGGGTCTCCCTATACAGTCCAAACTGGCCTCCAACACTCTACCCTTGATCTGAGCCAAAAGGCTGAGAAACAATAAACTAACTATCCCACCTCAGCATCCTGAGTGTGAGCCACCATGCTTGGCTAAGCCTACAGAGTACATGCGCACACACAAGGCTGTCCAGACTCGGGGACAGGTATACTGCACGTGTGTGCGGTGTCCATGTGGTCACAGGGCTGCAGGAAGGTCTAGTAAAATATCAGTACCACAGGGATGCGGAAATAGTTCCTTTCTGGATTCCTTTTTTTTTTCTTTTGGTGGCGGTGGCGGTGGCGGCGGAGGCGGCGGGGTCTTCTTTGTTGCCTAGATGGCCCCCAACAATCCTTTCCCACAGCTGGGACCACAGATGTGTGGGTCACTGTGCCCAGCACAAACCCACAGTACCTTACAAAACCAACCAACCAACCAAACGACAACCAAATCCACATAAACCTTTTGTTTTAATAAATAAGGAGTATTTGTGGCTTAGATTTTAAATCACGTTTACAGATAAGGAAAACCAGACCCAAATAGTAACAGTGAAGCTGGTGGTGTTGGAGGAACGCGAGCCCCGCATGCACTTTGCACCTGAAGAGCAGGGGACAGCATGCACAACTCACTCTAGATGACTAGGAGCAGAGAAGGAATGGGTCCTTGGGGAGGCCACGCAGCATCATCTGACCCCTCCCGCCAGCTCAGAACCAGTGCACAGCTGTGCCGTCAGATGAGCTGGGGCTGGGCTCCTGTCCACACCAAGTGGCCTGGCCCTTCTGTTGACACTGGGCATGAGCTGCAGAGGGTATCCACTGATTACCAGGATTAGAACAGAAAGAGGAAGCCACGCAGATATCTGCTTCTCCAGCACAGCCTCGATGAAGCGCACCTCCCCAGGCTCAGTCCAGAAACTTCCTATTGGCATTTGCCCCAAACAAGGCTCCCCGGACCTCCGGCATCATCTGT